GATGTGAGAAAGCAAGTCACTGGGTCCGGGACTCAAACTGTGGTCGGCCATGTGGGAGTGTCCAGCACCTTAACCAACATGCCACCTGCTGGCCTCCATGGAGCTTTGATTCTGAATATCCTAAGAGGTCCTAAAGAATAAGCTCTAGGTCATTACCAACTACTACAAGGGTCTAGAACATCACGGTATCATCTGAAACAAATGTAACAGTGAAATGGATCCAGTCATTAAACCCTACCAACATCCATTTTTATTAAAGGTGCTTATTGAGAAATGCCAGGATACTGAGGTGAGGGTGGAGGAAGAAAGAAAAAGACTCTGGTGTGGACCCTCTTCATAATGGAGGCCACCATGTGGATAAATACTATCGACTTATGTAATAAGTGACAAAGAAACAAAGGCATGTCACTAATAGCCTGTCATAAAGGAACTGCCAGTTAGTTAGGTAGGACTTTTGTAATTATGGCTTTAGTGGACTACAATGAGTATACTAATTTACAGTGAAAGAAATGTTCAGTGAAAAAAAATATTTTAAGTAACTTCCCTCTCTGCAATACTCACGTAATACTTGAAGACTTTTTGGGGAAAAGATCTTCTATGTTTTTCTTACTTCTAAAAACAAAAATAAAAACAAAAATATTTCTAGACTTTCTAGACTGCATGAGTAATATAATTAACATAAATTTCTCTGGAATTGGTGATTTTTGCTTTTAACATATTTTAAAGAAGAAGAGCAGCAACAAAAGTCAGTAAGACACTGATAGGAATTACAGGTATGATTCCCTGTTGGGCCACTCATGTCATGCACTCAATTTTACGTTCCCACCAAATTGAAATGCTGAAGACCCAACTCCTGATGTGACAGTATGTAGAGGTGGGGCCTTTAGAAGGTAATTAGGCTTAGAAGAGGTCACGAGAGTGGGGCTCCAAGACAGGATGAATTGCCTTACGAAAGGAGAGACCCAGTGATATCTCTTGCCATGTGAGGACACAGTGGGAGGGTGGCCATCTACCAGGCAGAAAGACTGCCGTTAACAGAACCCAACCATGCTGGCACCCTCACTTCAGACTTCCAGCCTCCAAGACTACGAGAAAATAAATTCTGGTTGTTTCAGCCATCCAGTCTATGACAATTTGTCATGGCAACCCAAGCTGATTCAGATGAACAAACATAATAATAATAATAATAATAATAAAGTTAGGCCCAGCTGTGGTGATACAAATAGCAAGGCATCACTGTATACAGCTGAGGTCACATAGGAAGATCAGTTCAGATCCCAGACCCATTGGATGGTAGGACATGCCTGCAATCTTTGCTAAGGGTCTAGGACTGAGGATCAGAATGGTGAGACTGTCAAAAACACCTCTGTCTCCTCTCTCCCTTTCTCTCTATCCCTCCTCTCTTCTCCCCATCCCCAGACAATTGAAAAAAAAAAATTCTATGTTGAAAATACTCACTTTGGAACAGATATCTTATCAGTAAAAACAGGTCTTTGTCTAACCAATTGTTTGCTTTTGGAAGGATGCCGTATGGCTTTGGGTACTTCTCCAGTTGAAAGGGCGTCCATCTGAGAAATACTGTACTTATCTGGAATAGGAGTGCCATTGATGAGTCTCCATGCCTTCATGATCAGCAAGTGACAAGCAGAAGTAAATAGCATCATATTGTCTACACTGCCACAGAAATGCATAAGCTTATCTTTAGGGTCTGAAGTCCAGACTCCAGGGTTATTTTTATTTTTAATATTTTAGAGAGATTTTTGCCATAGGGCGTGTGTGCTCACTGGAGAGACAGAGAGAGTGAAAACGAGAAATCATCCCCAAGGGGGGATGGCCACGCTGCAATCCCTCCTTCTCCATTCTCCTCTCAGGATTTTGGGCACACAAGCACATACACACAGTGTGAGTTTTCAGTCGCCAGGTCCAGGACTTGAACTGTGGTGACTACATGGGAGTCCAGTGACATAACCATTATACCATCTATTGGTCCCTCCAGGGTTATTTTAAAAGTAAAACAAAGGCCAGCAAATGGTGTGGTGGTTAAGGAGCTGGATACCCACTTGGCCAACCACAGTTTGAGTCCCAGATCTGGCGGCTTGAAAATTATACTAGACACATATGCATGCCCCAAATCCTAAGAGGTAGAAAGGAGGACAAGGAGTTGCAGTGTGGCCGTCCCCTGGTAGGTGATTTTTCACTTTCCTTCTCTCTGTCTCTTTTTGGTGAGTGCCAAAACCTTAAAAAAACAAAAAAGTAAAACTGGATTCAGTAGCTTGAAAAACATGCCCAGTGTGCTCATCGCCATGCCCCATTTGGGGAAGTGCTTTCTCCCTCTCCCTGTCTCTTTCTGGCAAGTACACATGCTGTCTGGCAAACACACACGCATGCACGCACACACACACAACCAAAATCCAAGGCCCAAACTCTTACACAGTAAGAGAATTACCAATGAAGTCTGCAAAGCCTGAGACTGATGGGCATTAAAGGAAGCTCCCATCTGCAACAACAAAATGGCAGTCAGTGACAGGCTTACCTGAAGAGAGTAATGTTTTCTCCTCAATTTTGCAGCTGACCTGGTGTTCCAGGAATTCTCGAATTTGCTGAATGTTAGGCATCTGCCTTTCTCGCTCACGTCTTGCTGATTCCACAGTTCTTAGCACTCTACTCATGTGATCACTTGGAATACCACGGATATCCTGAAGGAATAAGAAATACGTTCATTAATTATCCCAGAATGTTTTTCATTTCATGGGCATTCGCTGTGCTAATGTTTCAACCTGTTCCTACTGAGCTCCAGGTACATGGAAGGTCGGAAATACCCCAACATACAACACACTGTCCTGCCCCCTACAAAGCTCACAGTGAAGCTGAGTGCACAAGGTGTGTGTGTGTGGCTGTCTGGGACTGGCTCGGAAATGACATGAGGCTGTCTGGGAAGAACGAGATGAACTGACAAAGGCTCGAGGAATCCTAGTGAGGATGGAGGGGGAGGCTGAGCTGTATACTGAAAGGTGGGTGGAGTCAATCAAGTATCAATACAAAGAGCAGTGTAGGATTCAAGGGGGTTGGCCTGTGGCACAGGCAGGTACTGTGGCAGAAAGAGTCCAGGCGGTCCTACAGACTAGTGCTATGAAGGCCTGGTGAGACAGCAAAAAGGAAAAGGTAAGAGCGTCTTCTAGGTGTTGGATGTGTTCAATCTCATCATCTGGGTACTGGCTACAGATCTCTCACAGACGTGTGTGCACACACACACACATAAATATGTACACATAAGGCTGTGAACAGACACAAATGCACCCACATATACACAAACATCTAAACACTCATATACATCAGTATACACACATACTTGTATATACACAGATGTATGCACACACATGTATCTATATACACCCATACATATTTACATATATGTTATTTATATGTTCAGATATATAACTGTATATAGATACGTATACATCTGCCTGTACGCGTACAGACACATGGATATATACGTGCATGCATATGTATGTATACCCATACCCACAGATTTATGTACAGAATGCACACACACTTATGCACATGTGTACATGCCCACAGACATATGTGTGCCTATATATGCATACATATACACTTATATTTGCACACAAGTACACATGCACACACAGATATGTGTAGCCATACATAAATAAGGTTTTTCATAAAGTTTGTGGAAATGTCTATTAAAAAAATTATTGGGACCAGCAGGTGGCGTGGTGGTTAAGGTGCTGGACACTCCCACGTGGCCTACCAGGGTTCAAGTCCTAAATCTGGTGGCTCACTTTCTCACTTCCTCTCTCTGTCTCACTCTCACGCTCTCTGTCTCTCTCTGGTCAAATTAAAAATTAAATGAATGAAAAAATAAAATAAATAATTATTTAAAAAAATTATTTAGGGGAACTAGCAGATGGCATAGTGGTAATGTCGCTGGATTCCCATGTGGTCGACTAAGGTTTGAGTCCCAGCAGCTTAAAACTCATACCGGGCATGTGTGTGTGTGTGTGTGTGTGTGTGTGTGTGTGTGTGTGTGTACAAAATCCTAAGAGGAGAATGGAGGAGAGGGGATTGTAGTGTGGCCATCCCCCCGGGGGGTGATTATTTCTTGCTTTCTGTCTCTCTGGCAAGCGTACGCACCCTATAGAAAAACCCATAGATTTAAAATGTTTTAACACCAAAGACGTGTATTTTATGAATGACAATAAAATAGGTAAAAAGCGGAGTCTGCAGGTAATATGATATACCAAAATTATGCATTCTGGCAAGAACATGAAATACAATTCATTTATCCATTCATTCAACACGTATTTATCAGGTGCTGATTTTGTATGACATGGGTTAACATCAGAATGTAAGCAGCACTGGGGCTGCCTAGATACAAATTCTGGTACCGTCATTACTGGCCAGGTGATGTTAATTGAGTCACTTAACCTGTCTGTAAAACAGAGATAGTAAGATCACTTATTTCAGAGATGTGTTCTTACGTTTGAATGAGTTCATATTCGGTAATGTCTTAGAAATGGGCCAGGCAAACAGTGCATGCCACCTGGGCGTTTGTAAATAAAGCATGTCACACTAGCTTCTGGTCTCCACACTTGCACAGAACTGACATGCCTTCTGCTCTTCTCTAATGGTTTCTTATTTCAAGAATGAAATATAATAGAACTATTGGACTTCCAAAAATGAATGAACTTACTGCATTAATTCCCAAAGTTTCCAATTTTTCCACCAGGCTCTGCTCCAAGACTGTTCTTATTTCCTTAGTGAGGGAAGGATTGCTCTTCAAAACTTTCCTTAAATGCACCTTGCTGTTATTTAATTTTTGTTCATTTTCCCTTCCTGCAACAGGGTTTAAAAAAATGTGTTAATAAAGATTCAAACAAATATATAAAAACTCTAAGCAGAAAATGGCAAAGTACAACTTCTAAATAGCAAGTAAGCATGCGTAGTGTTTTAAAGTCCTTGTATATTTAGTTATTTGGTACAACATAAAATATTTAAGCATCATAGTTTCTCAAACTATTTTAAGTTTGGATCAAACTGCAGTGTCTTTAAAGGGGAACTAGCAGATGGCATAGTGGTAATGTCGCTGGATTCCCATGTGGTCGACTAAGGTTTGAGTCCCAGCAGCTTAAAACTCATACCGGGCATGTGTGTGTGTGTGTGTGTGTGTGTGTGTGTGTGTGTGTGTGTACAAAATACAAAGAGGAGAATGGAGGAGAGGGGATTGTAGTGTGGCCATCCCCCCGGGGGGTGATTATTTCTTGCTTTCTGTCTCTCTGGCAAGCGTACGCACCCTATAGAAAAACCCATAGATTTAAAATGTTTTAACACCAAAGACGTGTATTTTATGAATGACAATAAAATAGGTAAAAAGCGGAGTCTGCAGGTAATATGATATACCAAAATTATGCATTCTGGCAAGAACATGAAATACAATTCATTTATCCATTCATTCAACACGTATTTATCAGGTGCTGATTTTGTATGACATGGGTTAACATCAGAATGTAAGCAGCACTGGGGCTGCCTAGATACAAATTCTGGTACCGTCATTACTGGCCAGGTGATGTTAATTGAGTCACTTAACCTGTCTGTAAAACAGAGATAGTAAGATCACTTATTTCAGAGATGTGTTCTTACGTTTGAATGAGTTCATATTCGGTAATGTCTTAGAAATGGGCCAGGCAAACAGTGCATGCCACCTGGGCGTTTGTAAATAAAGCATGTCACACTAGCTTCTGGTCTCCACACTTGCACAGAACTGACATGCCTTCTGCTCTTCTCTAATGGTTTCTTATTTCAAGAATGAAATATAATAGAACTATTGGACTTCCAAAAATGAATGAACTTACTGCATTAATTCCCAAAGTTTCCAATTTTTCCACCAGGCTCTGCTCCAAGACTGTTCTTATTTCCTTAGTGAGGGAAGGATTGCTCTTCAAAACTTTCCTTAAATGCACCTTGCTGTTATTTAATTTTTGTTCATTTTCCCTTCCTGCAACAGGGTTTAAAAAAATGTGTTAATAAAGATTCAAACAAATATATAAAAACTCTAAGCAGAAAATGGCAAAGTACAACTTCTAAATAGCAAGTAAGCATGCGTAGTGTTTTAAAGTCCTTGTATATTTAGTTATTTGGTACAACATAAAATATTTAAGCATCATAGTTTCTCAAACTATTTTAAGTTTGGATCAAACTGCAGTGTCTTTAAGGACTCATGATCAAATTACCAAATTACAGCTAAATAATGCAACACAATATGTAACTATAGACACATAATAGGAAAAATTATATAGAAGTTTAAAGTTTTATCTTTTTTTTTTTTTTGGAGAGGTTTTTTGCTATAGGGCACGTGTGCTCACCAGACAGAGAGAGACAGAGAGACAGAAAGCAAGAAATCACCCCCCAGGGAGGATGGCCACGCCACAATCCCTACTCCTCCATTCTCCTCTAGGGATCCTGGGCACGCACGCACACGCGCCCGGCATGAGCTTAAGCCACCGGGTCTGGGACTCGAACTGCGGTCGACTATGTGGGAGTCCAGCGACATAGCCATTACACTAACTGCTGGTCCCTATCTTTAAACTTAGTTTACCATAGCCTAAAAATTTCTATTTTTTTTTTCCTGGAGAGGTTTTTGCTATAGGGTGCGCACGCTCACCAGAAAGAGACAGAGAGACAGAAAGTGAGAAATCACCCCCCCCCAGGGGGGATGGCCACGCCACAGTCCCTTCTCCTCCATTCTCCTCTTGGGATCTTGGGCACGCACGCACACACGCCTGGCATGAGTTTAAGCCACCGGGTCCGGGACCCGAACCACGGTCAACTACATGGGAGTCCAGCGACGACATAGCCGTTACGCTAACTGCTGGTCCCTAAAAAGTTCATTTCTAAGTTCAGTTAGAATTCATGTGTCATTTAATGAAGAAAAATTTCAGTTTATTTTAAATAATTAAAAAATGTTAAGTAACAAACTTAGGAAGCTAAGTGTACATAAAATGTCAAAATGTAAAGAATTATCAACCACCTCAAAATATTTACCAAATGAAAAAGAGGTTAATAAAAGGCTTAAGGAAAGTATGTTTTAGTTAAAATAACTTGCAGTAGAAAAAAAAATAACAGGCCATGTTCTTCACCTTCCTTCCTTAATCCTCCTCTATTGCCCACTAAAAATGTCTAGTTCAAGAGGGTCTGCAGAAAGGGAGTGACGACAGGAGCTTTGAAAACTCAAGTCCTTATGTCCAAGGAAACTGAAGACTTGATTAAAGAGACTCAATGCCTGACAGTCCAGACCCTTAGTGAGTGTGCAAGGCTGTATCCGGAGAAATGCAAGAACCATGTTATCATCCTAAAGTCTAATTTCCAAATAGGAACATTCTGTCCCAAGTGGATGGCTCTTTTTTTTTTTCCCTTTTTTTTTTGGAGAGGTTTTTGCTATAGGGCGTGTGCACTAGCCAGAAAGACAGAGAGAGAGAGACAGAGAGACAGAAAGCAAGAAATCATGCCCGGGGAATGGCCATGCTGCAATCCCTTCTCCTCCTTTCTCCTCTCAGGATCTTGGGCATGCACACACACGCGCCCAACGTGAGTTTAAGCCACCGGGTCCAGGACTCAAACCACAGTCGACTACATGGGAGTCTAGTGACATAGCCATTACGCTAACTGCTGGTCCCTCAAGTGGATGGCTCTTAATGATGTGTCCTGGATGTGGGGCAGGCCGGTCTGGAGAGACACTCCGTGTCCACTGCTTCATCTGCCTATAAGTGGGATTTTAAAAAAATAATTATTTTATTTAACCTTATTTATTTATTTATTTATTTATTTAATTTTAATTTGACCAAAGAGAGAGATAAAGTGAGAAAGCAAGCTACCAGGTCCAGGACTCAAGCCACAGTTGAGTATGTGGGAGTCCAGCACCCTTAACCATTGTGCCACCTCCTGCCCCACTGTCCTCTTTATTTAGTGGGATTTTTTAGTACTCACAGCCCTGGGATTTGCAGGAGATCTTGAACAAGATGCCTTTTAAGATGTTTTCAATTTTATTAGTAAATAATATTTCTGTTGATATACAGTTTTATTAAAAGCAAAGTTAATAAAACTATAACTAGGGGAAATAATTCCTGAATGAAGATACTTTCTGTACTTTGATAGTATAGCTAAACAAAAATGACAAAAGTGTATATGATCGCATGTGTTTAGAAGTCGGGAGTAATCTTAAATTTTACGTTCTTAGCATTCATGCTGCTGTTTAATCACCAAGGCTTCCAAATATTCTGAAACCCCCAAAAGAGCACTTCTGTCATAGGAGCTAACAGTCCATCAAAATCTCGAGGACTGGCTGCAGCCAGGACTCTGTGGCTGGCCTTGACTTCTGGCTGGCCATCAAGTCTGCAACTATCTAGGGTGAAAAATAACAAGGAGCACCAAGACAGCCCAGAGGTCATGGGGCTACCACTGAGAGAGACACATCTACTTCTCCAATTATACAAAGATAACTTTACCTTTTTAAGGTTTTTGTAATAGGATGTGCTTGCTGCAGAGACACAGAGATAGTGAGAGGGAAAGTGTGAAATAGCTCCCCCCAGGGAGAATGGCCACTAGCAATCCTTTCTCCTCCATTCTCCTCCTGGGATTTTTGGCATACAAGCATACATGCCCAGCATAATTTTCAAGCTGTGCAGTCTGGGCCTTGAACCATGGCTGGCCATGTGGGAGTCCAGCACTGAACCATCACGCCACCTGCTGGCCCTGCAAAGATAATTTTTTGACCAGTGTCTCAGATATAGAAATACACAGAAGCACAGCCTACACAGAGGCCCTGGGCCCTCTTTCCTCTGGGATGTGAGACCACAAACAGGAGTCAAGGGATGCGAGAATGACTTGACTAGAACATACGGAGCCGTAAACCGTTGATATCCGCTGTTGAATGTGTTTACTTGCTGATGTGTCTGTAGTCATCCTCAATGCTGATGACAAGTTCATTTTTCTCGATGACCAAGTTGCTTCAAATTACAGCAGTTTAAATGTTTCCCTCTGTCCTCACATTTACTGTGTATGTTGGTGCTTGCCTTAGGAAGCCATCCATGAACAATTAGAAAACCCTTGGTAAGGATCTCTACAAGGCTGGGTGGGGCTGGCCCACAGAAGCAAGAGAGAGTGCACAGTAGATAGGAAGAATAAAGTGTCTATGTGGAGGTAGAACCAATCAACCAATCACGGCCGAAGACCAACAAGACAAAACTTTCTAGAGACCAGCACTTTTCTGAGATATAAAACTTAAGACACATGCAAGCAGGTGGCAGGCTACTGCCTAATAGCCCATACGTGTGGTCTGTTATACCAGACACTCGACAAACCATTTATGATAGCCGCTAACTGGAGCACCAAGTAAGTAATGAAAAGAAAATGGAATTCCTGGATTCTAAGGGACTTCATCTGTCATCTAGCAATAAATCTCCTTATTTTTCAGAAGGATACTAAAACCAGAGAAGTACGAGACTTCCCCAAAGGCACCCTGGCTAGTCCTGCAGAGCCTGAACAGCTTGCTTTTCTCCTTTTATTCTTGCCTTTTTCCATTGGTTCTTTGCCTTAAACTACAGGAATCAGAAAAGTAGGCCTCGGGTTCCAGCCCTGTCACTAATTAAGCTCAATGACCTGGAGCTGGCTCCTAATAGCCGTGTTTTGAGTTTCTGGAAAATAAATGGCCTCTAAGATCTCTCTGGCCCATACAGTCTAATATCCTATAAAACAGTGAGACCAATATATAAAATAACAAGTTGTCTTTACACAACTGTCAAAAAGCAAGAATGCAGAAATACATATGTGTGAGTTACCTCTTAGTGACAGCCACAGTGTTTTTGTAAACACTGCCAAAATTTAGCTTCTTGGGTATTTATCTACAAAATGTTAGCACAGGCTGGGGAATTTACTGATGGTAATTCATCAGCTGCCAGTATGCTGACTCCATGGAAGCACTTAAAGATGTGGTCACAGACCACACGTGGTGCACTTGCACATGGAGCCTTTCCCCTGGTCCTCAGCACACTCTCTTCCACCAGAACTGTGACTGAACACATGAAGGGTGGTAAAGGTTATTGTCCTAGTCCGGCCCCCAAAATGTCCTCCAACCAGTGATGCCATTTGCTGTCGATGACGCCAGATTCCCATCTGACATTGGCTGGGAGCAGTCTAAACGCACAGGCAGAACGACCGAGCGGGTGGGACCCAGTTGGGTGATGGTGGACACATCACGATTCCTCTCAGAACTCTTGCTTGACTGGTTTAAGTGAAGTGAATGTGAACTGGTTTTGAAATTATGTAGCCCTTTCTATGAATCTCCTGACATGTTTCACAGATCCTTCCAGGAGTGAGAGATCTTATGTTCTGGACATGAATAAACAATACATATGCAGGAGAGAGGAAGCGTGCTCCTTGCAAGTGCAGTGATGCTCATGATGCAGAACATAAATAGGGTAATATCTGGTCGTTCTGTCTCCAGGAAACCAGCACAGATGATTGAAAATCACCTAAGGACAATAATTTTATTTTTAGAGAAATGTTGGCTATAGGGCATGTGTGCTCGTCAGCAAGACAGAGAGAGATGGAAACAGAAAGCGAGAAATCACCCTCCCATGGAGGATGGCCAAGCTGCAACCCCTTCTCCTCCATTCTCCTCTTGGGCACGCATGTACACATGTCTGGTGAGTTATAAGTTGCTGCTGGATTTGGGACTCAAATCTCAGTTGACTATGTGGGAGTCCAGTGACATAACCATTA